AGGGTTTAGGGTTTAGAGTTTCCAAACCGCCCCCCCAAGGTGTGACAAAGGCTTCCAGTGGACCATGGCTCTGCACCTCTTGGGCGAGATGCCCGCGCCCCGGACTACCTGCGAGGAGGTAGCCCCAAAGAACCCAAAACACCTTAATTAGGGAATATACCTTAAATTATAGGGGTCTTCATATTATGATTTAAGGTCTATTCCTTAATTAAGGGGTATCGGGTTCTCTGGGTAGCCTGTAACCTTTGGTGTTTCTTCATTTTCTGGGTGCGGCGGCAGTTTCTTCTAGACAACTAGGTTGACTGTTTATGTAGGGCGTATGCATGGGCGCACGTGCGTAGCGAGCTACGGAGGCATTTCTCCCAGACCAGCACGTTTACACTTTGGGATTCTTGCCTTCGGCCCTGCCTTCGGTGCACGGAGGCTGCACGGCATCGAACCTGCTCCCACTGCGCCGCGTTCAGCGAAAAGGCCCTAAGCTGAAAGCCCTCTATTGCACGGACCCTTACCGCGGATTGTGAAGAAACCTCCAAAGCAACTCATACTCCGTGACGGTCGCGAAGAGCATTCAAAGGTCGCAACTGCAAGTGCCTCCGAGCACTTCCTCGTTCAACACGGCGCGTGGCTCCCAGAAGCACTGAAGAGGATCGTGAGTTTCGAACCTTCAGAAGGTGTTGTAGCGGTATAGGCTTTAGCTGTTGGGGGTTTGGGGCTGGGGGCTTCGAGGTTCGTGGTTGTAGGTTTGGGTTGTTTGTGGTTTCGGGGCTTGGTGATTTTTGAGGTTGTTTAGAGCCCACTGCCCAGGAAGCCAAGGATGGGTTGTGCCTTCAACATGTTTTCTGGTTTTTTCTATTTCGGTTTCCGGATTTTAATGACATCGCACATGTCAGACGTAGTCAGAGGCCTTCGATGCAGACATGTCGCATGAGCTGAGTCCGTAAGCCCGTGAACCCTACATCGCCGACTTAGCACCCTTCGCTTCCCCCTAAACCTTATCAAGCCTTATTCCTTATCCCTGAGCCAAACCCCCCACCCTCAAACCATGAACCCACGCCTTCAACGTTGAACCCTGAGTCAGTATCCCCCGATAGTACCCCTTTTGACACTTTTTATCTTGCGGTTTCAGTATTGAAACTGAGCCATCCTATAAACGGGCACCCTTCCCACCAAGGGAAAGCAGGGGAAACCAAAACGCCCAGAACCTTTGTGCACCTGAAAGCATCATTTGGGAAATCCATCTGCCTCTGCCTGTCTCTCTCGCACTTTCGCATCGCTTATTTAGATTTCAGGGTGTAGCGCTTAGGATGGTTCAGGTAATAACAGGTACTCTGAAGAGAGCCCTTGCGCTCCTGAATGGTGGGTATATTGCTTGGCGGCTCTGACTGTACACGGAGGGTTTGGATTCAATACTTGTTTGGTACCCTAATTAGGCTCTAGCTGTCTAGCTGTTGTGATCCTAACCACCACCCAACTTGCCAAGTCCCCGAAACCACGAACCTTGAAGCCCTACACGAAACCTTTGCTGCATGCCGTAAACCAGTGGGGGTTTCCGAAAATATGGGACCCTAATATAGTACCCTAAATACTAGGATCCCTATTATAAGGACCCCAAAACAAGGTACCCTAATTTTCTGAAACTCCCAGTATCCCCGGAACTCTAACGCAGACGGCCCTCAAGAATTAGTTGGGAGCCTCATGGTGCTCCTGATTTATGGGGTCCTAACTTCATGCCGTAAGGCCCTTAACATAAACCCTAAACCCTAAACCCCTAAACCCCTAAAGCCTTAATATTTGGAGCCCCTTTAGGATCCCTGATACTTCATGCCGTAACGCCCTTAAAGCATAAGCAGCCTCTTTGGGATCCCTGATACCCATAAGGAGCCCCTTCTTAATCCCTGAT